GATGGATTCCGCTGCTGACACTGAACTGGAGGGGCCTCTGGGCCGTCCTAATGGGTGTCTCTCAGGACAGATGAGCCTCAGAGTCTACAGAGAAGTTAATAAAAACCCAATAATGGCCTTATTTACATCCAGCACTGGGCACCGTCTGGCAGCGTTCCCAGACCGGAGAAGGCACCGTCGGGGACACAGACAAGGGCTGGGCGCCGCTGTAACAGGCCGGCAGCGCCCCGCCGGACCTCAGCCGGAGCATGCGATTGTGGCCGCGCCTTCGTCCGCGCTGAGTCCCAGTCCCAGCTCCGTGATCTGAGGCGAGCCACTGGCCTGTCTGTGCCTCTGTCTCCTTATCTGTGAGGTGGGCTGATCGAGTCACACGCGTGGGAGCACTGTGCATGGAGCCTGGCGCAGCGACCGTGCTCACGGCGAGGCCCCAGCGGCTCTGCGAGGACTGAGGCGGCACCCCACCGCCTGCAGGGAGCCTCGCCTGCTCGCGGGGACCTTGGAGACTAGAATTGGGTGGCAGTGGACAGGAAGTGGGCTCAGCTGTGGACACCACAGGAGTGGCCACTGTTCACGGGTCCGAGGCTGCCGCCCGGCAGCTGAGCACTCAGCCTCCTTCCGGCTGCGCATCCCTGTCCTACATAGCACGCTGCTTTTTGGGGGGTAAAAGCGGGGGCATATGTAATACTTTTAACAATAAAACCTGTTTTTAAAATAAGTTAAATAACTTTAAAAAATAATACGCTGCTTTTGTCCCCAGAAGTACCAGCCACACACCAATGTCCATGTAACATGCTGTGTGCCAAATGTCACACAGGACTGTCCGGCCACAGACGGAAAGAAAGCTGGTGCGGCTCCAACACGGACGGTCCTGGAAAACACCCGCTTCGTGCAGTAAGCCAGACGCAGGACAACACGGCGTGAGACTCGCTGGCACGAGGAGCCTAGAAGAGGCTCAGTCACAGTCAGAGCAGACAGTCGCCGGGCCCGGAGGGGGCGGTTCTCGTTTAGCAGGTTTATGTCGGGTGATGGAAGGTTTGGGGCACAGACCGGAGTGATGGGTACGGGGACTGTGAATGTCCTTAAGGCCACTGAGTTGTACTCACAGATGGTGAAAGTAGTAAATAGTATGTGTGTGTGTACATACAGGTGTCCCCAAAATGTATACACACTAAGAATGATTTTTAAGTCAATGTTTATTAACATACAGTTAATTTTCAAAATCTACAAAAATGAATACTTTTTTGGTCAAAGCCTGTTTTCAAACTGATGACCGTTCTGGCCCAGGCACTCCTGATAACATGAAGCAATGGAATCGCAACATCAAGAGTCCTTTCGTCCAGTATTCATGTGCCCTCAATTCGACTGCTGCTGGTTGTGTACTGTCAACTTTACCTGTTATGTATCCCCATAAAAAACAGTCTAGTGGAACTTTAGGATAAATTTTCTTTGTTCAAAACTTAGTCTGGCTTCACCCATTATTTCAAATCAGTTAAACCTCAAAAGGAGTGAAAATGAAGTGTGTTATCAGCTGTTAAAGTATACGTACATTTTGGGGACACCCTATTATATCTTTAATCCACAGAAGTCATCAAAGCAGTGTGTGGGCAGGTGCAGCCTGTCGCCGATGCAGGGGCATGAGCGAGCGGGCCCTGGGGCGGGACGAGCAGGCTGGGGACAGGTCAGCAGGCTGGCTTCCCAGGACCCAGGCATTGCGGACCAGCACAGAGAGCGGGGGCAGGGCCCGGCCCGGAAACGGCACTGCTCTATTCCCCTCGCACGCCAGTGGCTGCAGGACAAAAAGGCCCCTTCTGTAAGAGCAAACGCCTGTTTGGCTTCTGTAACAACCAACTCTCGCTCCGGCTTCTCTGTAGCCGACAGTGCCCTCGGCAGCTCCGCCCGGTTTGGACATCGGTCCCGCCTCACTCAGCCGAATGGGCAGAACAAGGGCTGCTCCTGCAGTGGCTCCCCAGCCTGGCGCAGACTCGGGGAAGATAAAGGATCTCCTCACGTGTGGTCAGGCATCCGGTGGCTGTGCAGTGAACCAGACTCGCCTGCGGTGTGATCCTGGGTGTGAACTCCTAGAATCATCACCACGGTCCCGCTTCCTCCTGCGTCCGCAGCCACAGCGACCACTCTGTCCTGGCTGCACAGCCCACTCCTGCCCAGGACCCTGCACCACTGTTCTCTCTGCCTGGTAGTTCCCCTCTCTCTCTCTCTCTCTCTCTCTCTCTCTCTCTCTCTCTCATTCGCATCTCTAGAGTCTCAGATGGCACCGGAGCCCTGAGGCCTGCCCAGCCATCGTATAAAATAGCGCCGGCCCCGCTCCGAGGCGGTCTGCTCTGCTGAGGCTCCCGGGACACTAGTCGTGCTGCTGTCCCTCCCCGACCTCCACCCCAACCACCAGCACACGAGCTGCACGCAGACAGGGCCTGTTGGGCCTGGAACAGGGTCTGCTCATCCAAGAAAGCCAGCACATCCCTGCAGAGAAGAGGCAGCACGCCGGCTCCCGCGGCTCCCGCGGCTCCCGCGGCTCCCGCGGCTCCCGCGGCTCCCGCGGCTCCCGCGGCTCCCGCGGCTGGGAAGGCAGCTGTGACCCTCCGCTCACACGTGGCTCCATCCACAGCAAGAGCCTCCTAGAACCTAAAGTCTGAGCCTCTTTCACAGAAAATAGTTTGCGCCACTTACTGTCTGAATGAGGAGATAGGTGCGGTGTCCACACTGGGGAGCGTTACTCAGTACAAGCAGCACGAGGCACGGACGGAAGCCCTGACGGCTGAACCTCGGCAACATGGTGCCCGGTGAAGGGAGCCGGACGCCGAGGTCAGGGCTGTCTGAGGCCCTGTGTCTGCCACGTCCAGAACAGGCAGGTGCGAGCGACAGGGCACAGGGGTGCGGGCCGCGGGCAGGTTTCTGTGGCTGATGCACACGCCTAGCGGAGCGCTGAAGGCTCGCACTGTGTGCGGGAGCCACAGGCACCGCCGCGTCTGGGAGATGGCGAGCGCGCGCTCCGCAAAGCCTCGTATTAAAGCTGTTACCAAGAAAGGTGGTGGCCAGGGGTCTGTTATAACATAAAACTCGACAGAAACTTCTATGCATACAGGTCTCACACAAATTCATAAATTAAGCTCTAGTTATATAAGCAATCAATTCAAAGGCAGTGCTCATGCCAGCGAAGATGTCACTTCACAGCTGTGTCACTGCTCACAGCAGGAAACGGCAGCCCTGGCACCGAGTCCCGGAGTCCCGCACCGCACACTCAGGGCGACGCTCAGACCGCTGACAGCCAGGATGGCCAGGTGACAGCAATTCCGAGGAGCTGCTGGAACCAAAATCCAACCAACGCCAGACACACGCAGCCCACAGCCGCCCGGGGCCGGCGGCACAGCAGCCCTGCCTGCATCCCACGTGCAGCTCCAAAATCCACTTCCTCTCCAGTGGGAATTCACCACAGACGCACCACGAACCCCTTCTTGTCTAGAAAGGGCACCGGCCCCCACACGGCAGGCACACGTTGTGGGCGGGGACGCAGCGGGCAGCTCGGCAGAGGGCCCTGCCCACGGGTGGAACGGACTGCCTTCCCGGGCCCCTGGGGGAACGGCAAACACACACGTGTGAATTCTGTCAGAGCTCAGGCCCTGGGGCGCCCCCGAGCCCAGGACAGCCAGACCCGCTGTGGGAAACACTGACGTCCGGACGAGGGGCCAGTGATGGCGCCCAAGGCTGTGCCTTTAGCTCCACGCGGACACTGCAGTGTGAGCTGGGAGGCAGGGGCCACGCCTGTGGGAGCCCCATGCAGAAGGGGAGTCCGGCGCCTCTCTCGGGCGGCTGCACCCCCGCCCTGCCCCATCACGATCCCGTGCGGAGTGCGGACAGGGTCCAAGAGACGGCACTACAGGGCGGGCAGGGCACAGCGCCTGGCACGGATGAAAGCGCTGGCACCCCCGTCCTAACTGCTGTGCTCCGGGCACTGGCCGCTCCCTGGCCGGGCTGGGGGCCTGTATCCTGTGAGCCTGTAAGCGCCCAGCAGCCCAAACCCACCCTGTCCTGTCCAGACTGGGCCTCGCACCGTTCACCAGAAGAGGACAAAGTCAGCAACAGCCCTTTGCCCAGAGCCCAGGCCTGACTCTCAGCAGCTGTGACCTCACCAACACGGCCTCCGGGGGGGCGGGGGTGGGGGGGCAGGGCGCTGCGCCCGCGGCGACAGGTGGATGGCACACACGGGAGTCCGCGCTGCGGGATGGCCGGTCTACAGCGACTGGACAGCAGACCGAACAGCTGCTGCCCCTTAATTCTCCCTCTAATTTAATGAGCTGCTCACTGAGCCCTGGAAGCAGATCCCAGGGACGGAGCTGCTGGCGCGCGGCCACGCGGCTGACAGGTGACGGGAGGTGGGTTCCTCCCAAAGGCAGAGCCCACACCAGGCTGCGTCCACCAACACCCGTTTGCTCCAAAAGGTCACCATGATTCGCCTGCCCGGCCCCACCTGCCGCGAAGTGCACAGCCTGTGGGACTCCCGTTCCTGTGAGAGCCCTGGCAACGCCCCGCGGGCACCTCCTCCTCGCTCCCGCTCGGCCGCCGTGGGCCAGGGAACGTTTCCCAGACTCCAGACCCGCAGGAGGGCGCACACACTTCCAGAGCCTACAGGAACCGACCAGGACATTTTGTTGAAATCCCATATTTGTTCTTAAAATTCCAAGTAAATCTTATCTTACATGCCCCAGTAAAGGGCTTTATGTGTTCACCGTCCGGAGCTAACGAACAGCTTCCTGTCCAGCTTCCCCTAAAGCCAGGGCGGAAGCAGGCCACCCCCCTCTGTCTCGCTCCAGGGGCCCACCCCCGGGGCAGGTCTCAGCTTGGAAGCAGCAGATCGGGAGGCAGGAGGTGGCACCCCCACAGCCCCTCGTCATTTCAACCTTGGCCTAACCAAGGTCAACCACCCAACTCAGAACAGCTTCCCTCGGAGGGGGAGAGGGTCCCGGCCCCCTGCGCCCAGCGCTCACCCGGATCCGGCGCATGGCAGCCACAATCTCCACTCTGCTGTTGGGCCGCGGCACGTCCAGGCTCCCGACGTACTGTGGGGAGAAGAGGGAGGTGAGAACGCATGTGAGTGTCCCAGCCACAGCCTGCGAGCGGCCGGCGGCCTGGGGAGGCGACCCAGCTCATCTCCCCATTTCACAGGAGTCATGGGGACACCTCGTCCAGCTGTGTGTATAACAGGCCAATGAACAACTTCCTGCTTCCTGTTCACCTGCTCGTCACTGGGATGCAGCGAGTGTGGATGTGACTGCAGCTCTGGCCAGCTGGCCTTTCTGCGCGCCGGCTCCTCATGGGGAGCCGGGACCCCATCAAGCACGGCAGTGTCTCCCTCACAGACCTGCCTGCACACATTAAAGCCTCAACAACACCCAGAAGGAAGGAAGGGGCGTGTTTTCTTAGTGAATGGCCGATCCCTGAGCGAGCCCCAGGGGACTCAGGGAACACACACGCTTGAGGGAAGTACTGGAGGGAGGAATGGACTAATATTTTATTAAGATGTTTGCCTGATTGTAAGGCTGGTGTTTAATATCGGAACAACTCCTCACTGTGCACTATTCAAACAACCCAGGAATGTGTGGAGGAAAAGAACAGAGGCCGGGTCCCAGCCTGACGCACAGCTCTGTGCTGACGGACGGACGGACACATGCAGGTGCGCGAGGTTCGCTCGGGAAAGGCCCACGCAGCTGGGCTGCACGCCGGGCACAGCTGGGCACCCAGCGACCCTCGGCCGTGCCTCCCACGCAGTCCTCTGAACTGGGCCCGAGTACCTGCGGGCCATCCAAGCCAGGAGGCGTTTCCTGTGGTTACCGGAACACGGTTCTCGCTGGAATGGGGAGCTGAGGCTGGCCCAGCGAGCAGGTGTCAGATCCTAAACGGCACAGGATTTCCCGGGCACTGCCCACAGTGTGTGCTAACACACGGGAGCATGGGCCGAGCGGCCCGCGGGGAGCGGTGAGCACACTGGTCTGCGGGGCGTGAGCAGCTGGCGACTGCTCAGGTACACAAAGCCCCCAGGTCTCAGGGCGTCAGATCGAACTGTGGTGGGCACTGCCCTGCTGAGCTCTGCCAGGGCCCCGCAGTGTGTCACATGTCAGTGGCTGCACAGCCAGGAAGGACGAGGCCGGGCTCATGACTGCGCGCCCTCAAAGGCCCTCCTGCTCGGCACCTGCATGCTCACCTGACGGTCCTCCCTGAACCCGGGGCAGTCAGGACGAGCTGGGCAACAGGCCTTCAACTCCTGTTCCTTCACCCATCACCTCACCTGAGTGCCAGGACCTCAGGACCCAGCAAGGTCACGTTACACGTGGCGCCCAGGGAAGGTGCTTCCTCCCGGCAGGAACATGGCCAAACACATGTGTGATCATCCCTGGCTGGCCATGCTGCACAGGTCCAAGCACACACCTGACTGGAATCCTCCCAGAATGAGCACATGTCCACCCACCGTGGCTAGGAGAATCCGCCTGCAGAGGACAGGAGGCAGCCTGGGTGCTGCCAGGGGTCCAGCACCAGTCATTGCCTACCTGTACAGTCAGCCCCCACCTGCACAGTCAGCCCTCACCTGCACAGTCAGCCCCCACCTGCAGTCAGCCCTCACCTGCACAGTCAGCCCCCACCTGCACAGTCAGCCCTCACCTGCACAGTCAGCCCCCACCTGCACAGTCAGCCCTCACCTGCACAGTCAGCCCTCACCTGCACAGTCAGCCCCGACCTATATAAACAGCCCCCACCTGCACAGTCATCGCCCACTTGCACAGTCAGCTCCCACCTATACAGTCAGCCCCCACCTATACAGTCAGGCCCACCTGCACAGTCATCGCCCACCTGCACAGTCAGCCCCACCTGCACAGTCATCGCCCACCTGCACCGTTGCCGGGAGCCGGTCCATCCTTGCTGTTTCAAGGGACCTGGCATATATGGCATACTGTTCTTAATATGTTTGCTCACCTTCTTGGCACTATGTGTTTTAACCAAGGTCACCTCTCTGAGAAAGGTTGTTTCCCCAGGTAGGGATTTTCCCCTGAAGTTAGGGAGGGAATAAAACCCCTTAACTAAGTGCCAGGCGGGTAATTAATCACTTTAACTACGAACAATCATGCTTAAGCTACATAATCTTTACTCCCTGGAATGGAAATAAGAAACGCCCTAACCTTTGGAATAGAGATTGATAGGATTGGAATCAACTGGTATAAATACAGATGTAACAAGACAACAGCACACAGAAACTAGATACAGAACCTAGACACAGAACCTAGAGACAGAACATGGCAAAAGATCCTGGACAGAAACTGGACACAGAACCTAGACACAGAACCTAGACACAGAACCTACACAGAACCTAGACACAGAACCTACACACAGAACCTAGACACAGAACCTACACAGAACCTAGAGACAGAAGAACTTTGCTGGAGAGAACATGGCAAAAGATCCTGGACAGAAACTGGACACAGAAACCTAGAGACAGAACCTGGCTACAGAACCTGGATAGAACATGGCAAGAGAACCTGACTAGAACCTGGTGACTGAACCTGGCTGGAGAACCTGGACAGAACCTGGCTGGAGAACCTAGCGAGGGAACATGGCTACAGAACCTGGCTGGAGAACCTGGAGAACCTAGCAAGAGAACATGGACACAGAACCTGGCTGGAAATCCTAACCAGAACTTCGCTGGAGATCCTGACCAGAACTTGGCTAGAGATCCTGGCTAGGCTGCTGATCAACTGAACGCTGTCTCCGTGTCATTCCTTCTTCGCCGACTCCGTCCACACCTTTGGGGACCCCTGGACCTGCTGGGGTTGGACCCCAGCACACCGTCAGCCCCCACCTGCATAGTCATCGCCCACCTGCACAGTCAGCCCCACCTGCACAGTCATCGCCCACCTGCACAGTCAGCGCCCACCTATACAGTCAGCCCCACCTATACAGTCAGGCCCACCTGCACAGTCATCGCCCACCTGCACCGTCAGCCCCCACCTGTACACTCAGCCCCAACCTGCACAGTCAGCCCTCACCTGCACAGTCAGCCCCCACCTATACAGTCAGCCCCACCTGTACAGTCAGCCCCCACCTATACAGTCAGCCCCCACCTATACAGTCAGCCCTCACCTGCACAGTCAGCCCTCACCTATACAGTCAGCCCCCACCCGCACAGTCAGCCCCCACCCGCACAGTCAGCCCTCACCTATACAGTCGGCCCCCACCTGCATAGTCGGCTACCACCTGCACAGTCCGAATGGAGTCCCTTAGCTCATCTGACTGGTATCAAGGTGCTGGACTGGACCCAGCAGGAGCACCTGCAATTCCTGGCTTACCCCGAGCAGAGCTTCCTGCTGGTGACTGAACCGCCGGCCACTTAACTCTGTGAGACTTCGTGGGGCTCTGTGCTGCCTTCAGGAGGCCCCGCTGGGAGGAACTGCAGGGCCTCTACTGACATCTCCTCAGAGCTTCTGGGGAAGGGGGAGGCCTGCAGAACATCGGGGCCTCTTCTCCAGCATCTAGAAGGAAATGGCTGGCGGAAGCTGCCACAATGCTGGGGACCCCTGGGAGGGGATCTGGTCAGTCTACCTGTGGCTCCATCTCCAGGGGAGCCACCTAACTGCACACGACTCTCAGCCTCTGGTGGCCTCAGCCCCCAGCCAGAGTCAGACCTCGCGGGGCTGTTTCCATGTTCTTGCTCCCACCTTGTGTTCTGGAGCCTGACTTCTGAAGGCAACGATAAGCAGAATCGTAGTGTCTCCTGGTACATAAATCACAACAGGAAAGCAGCCAGGCATCACCGCGTGACAGTCCCCCAAATCGTCACCACCTGGACCTGTCAGACTCCCGCCGCCCTCTGCGGGGAGAGGCCAGGGGAGAGCTCAGTGTGAGGCAGAGCCGAGTGCTCCAGTGGCTCTGCTTCCCCTCACGTGGGCGCAGCTGCAGCGCAGACACGGCTCCTTCAAAAGCAAACAGGAAGTCTGGACAAGCAGTGGCTGCAAATAATGGTCAACTCAAGGGGGACCTACTATAACTGTGACGGTCAGTGTTGGCTCAGCTGTCACAACGCACCACCCTAAGCAAGATGCCATGATGGGAGACTGGGAGGAGCGTGTGTGGGAACTCTGTCCTCGCCACCCAATGTTCCATAACCCAAATGTCGCTCTAAAAAATAAAGGTCATTCACTGAAACAACCCTGAGGCACTGGCGTGAGCCAGAGGCATAGGCGGCACTCAGCCCACATGCAGCTCGCCCACCCCACCCCCCCCAGCAGCTGGGCTCCAGCCAAGCGCTCGCCCGGATCCTGGTGGGGGGACCCCAGGGCCAGGACAGCCAGGGTAGGTGAAAGTGAGGCTGCAATCCCAACGGGAGGTGTCACAGAGGGAGCCCCATAGGAAGCACACACCACCCAGCTACTTGGAAGCCCGTTTGCACAGATAGGCCCCACCGACAGCACAGGGCCACGGCCTCCTGGGGCGAAAGGAGACCACAGTGGGCGCAGTGTAGAGGTCCCTGCATCTCTGCTCCCCACTGTCTGTGTCTCTCTAAAAACACAGGGACAGGCATGGGCGCTCCCAGCACGGATGCAGGAGGGCTCAGCACTCAATGGACGGCAGGCCAGCTCCTGGCTCCCTGTCCAGACCTCCCCACCTCCGCCCGCATTCTCACCGCCTCTCCCTTCAGGTCCACACAGGCCTGGTTTCTATCCTGCACCCTCCAGACCCTGTCACATTCCTTGGTCTCCTGCCACACTGGGTCCTCTCTCCAAAAACACACACAAGCTGGCAGAAACCTAGCACCCTGCTCATACCTAGCACCCTGCTCACACCTAGTGCCCTGCTCACACCTAGCACCCCGCTCACACCTAGCACCCTGCTAGCACCCCACTCACACCTAGTGCCTTGCTCATACCTAGCACCCTGCTCACACCTAGCACCCTGCTCACACCTAGTGCCCTGCTCACACCTAGCACCCCGCTCATACCTAGCGCCCCGCTCACACCTAGCACCCTGAGTGTACCAGAAATCACCAGCCAGGATTGGCATCTGTTACTCCCTG